TAAGTTTGTTTAATCTTTTAGTACGAGAAAGTGGAGAAGATTGGTGAAGGAACATATGGTGTCGTGTATAAGGCCCGTGATCGTGTCACCAATGAGACTATAGCTTTGAAGAAGATACGCTTGGAGCAGGAAGATGAAGGAGTACCGAGCACTGCAATCCGAGAAATCTCTCTCTTGAAGGAAATGCAGCACGGAAATATAGTCAGGTGTCTTTCCTGTATTTCTGTATCTTTGAATGTTAGACATTTTTGCAATGACAAAGTTGAGGCTGCTTTTCATTAACAGGGAAATAGAATCTGCACAAGGAGGTAAAGATAATTATATTTACTCCTCAAATGATAGCCCAGTTCTACTAGGCACTGTACCGCAGATATAAACACATTGACCTAGGTTTTATTTCCCCAGCATACGAAATGAGCGTTTTTCTGTTTGGTTTGATGATAGACGATGGTCTGTCTTTATCAGAAAAAAAATGGAAAAAACAAGCTTTGCTCTCTGTCGCACTAAATCCAAACGCATTAGCCATAATTTTTTGCTCCTATTGATCTTTTAATCGTTTTATTTGGATTCTGATTCCTATTATACTTAGCATTTTTTTGTCTTATGGTCTCATATAGAACTTGCATTTTTGCTTATGGCAGGTTACAGGATGTAGTGCATAGTGAGAATAGGCTGTATCTAGTTTTTGAGTATTTGGACTTGGATTTGAAGAAGCACATGGATTCATCTCCAGACTTTGCCAAGGATCCACGTCTGGTAAAAGTGAGTGAGCGGTTTGCTCCTACACTAGGAGCTCCATGACTTTGTGCTTGAAGATATATGATCATTCTCCTGAGATGAAAGGCAATCTTCCTTTGCAGATATTTCTTTATCAAATACTGCGTGGAATAGCGTATTGTCACTCACATAGAGTCCTCCACCGAGATTTGAAGCCTCAGAATCTGTTAATTGATCGACGTACAAATGCCTTGAAGCTTGCTGACTTTGGACTTGCAAGAGCATTTGGTATTCCTGTTAGGACTTTTACACATGAGGTACCTATGTCATGTACTGTCTTGGTTGTCTCATGTAAATCATGTCTTACCACATTTAGTACATTCTTCTCATCCTCTGGTTATGTACTGCTAAATTTTGGATGTCAGGTGGATGTTTGTTCTAATCTAGGCATATTTTTTTGGGTATAACAAAAAAAAAAATTGGATATTTTGACTTTAGGAGTATCATAACTAATTTATTTGGAGTCTTTGGTTCTATCTTTTACAAAAAGCCCAGTAGGGAGATTCTACTTTTTTGAGAATTTTCCTGGTGCTAGTTTGGTTTCGAATAATGTCAGATAATTAAATCAAAATGAGAATGAGTTAGCTTTACTGTTGCTGAATTTCCAGAATCTTCTATTCTGGTTCTGGCAGTTCGATTCCTCTGTGAAAGAAAGGTATCCTCGCTTGAAAAATCACATAAATTTTCAAAAAGTTGGAAACTATGGATTTTGGATAAAGGGAAAGAGACAAACATTTGCTGTGTTGTCAAAAACTGTTCTTAGCATGTTTCGTGCTTTTAGAACGTCTTCCATAGTTGTTCATGGCCTGTTGAAATCTGGGGCAGCTTAGTAGTTTATTTTTGGTTACTTTTGACTATCCAAATGCAAGGCACTACAAACATTTTAGATGATGCTGTTGAAGGTTCAGATGCATCAACTTGTGACATTGTGAAAAAGATTGTTGCTTACACCCTCTTAAACTCTAACAGTTTATAGTTTGCATATAGATTGATATTGGTGGTCTTTCTTTCTAGGTGGTGACTTTATGGTACAGAGCACCAGAAATACTTCTTGGTTCTCGTCACTATTCTACCCCGGTTGATGTCTGGTCGGTTGGCTGTATATTCGCTGAGATGGTGAACCAATGTCCTTTATTTCCTGGAGATTCTGAAATTGATGAGCTGTTCAAGATATTCAGGTGCTACAGCTCTTTCAGAATGATTTTCTTTTTCCCTTTGCAAGCTTCTGACCTTGTTCTTTGTGTGGAAGTTAGTTAATCATGTCGTCTGTTGGTGTTCGTCAATCCCACGATTCTGTTATGCGTACGGGCTTCTGCTGAATGCCCGCTCCACCAAAAGACACACATTATGGTTAAATTTCAGGAATTTATGATTCTGCAGTCCATCTCAAGTATCTATTTGCATTCTGTCCATATAATTAAGTGGCGAAAATGGTTCTGGTTCAGCAATGTTACATTTGTCAGTGTCTTGAACTATCGATATCATACTCGATGATGGTTTTGTTTTCAGTCTTTGAACTTCTTATAGGTCTTATATGCAAACTTACTGAGGATATCTTTAACTCTTTTGGCCTGATATCCAACTTTCAAAACCACATGTTTCAAATGGCTATCACAAAACATTTGAGCTGCCACAGTATTTTCTTTTACTAACCCCACCATACACAATGTTCAGCAATGAAGCGCGCTCTGACTTCTGAAGATAGTAGTTCATTTACTCCAGACTGTGTATTAAATTTGGATTGAGCTTTGGAAGTTGGAATTCACTTTCCTGTATCAATAACTGTTCCTGGTCATCCACGAGTGCTTATATAAATCTGGCTGGTCAAAATTTAAGCAGACAAAACGGCAATAATCTAAATTACTTCTCTTCCTGCTATGAAGGATCATGGGCACGCCAAATGAGGACACATGGCCGGGAGTAACTGCCTTGCCAGATTTCAAGTCTGCCTTTCCTAAGTGGCCTCCAAAGGTAATTGGCTCACGTTTTATGCTAAACTTTTGATGACCTTGTTATTCGATCATGATAATGTCTCCTAAAAAAAATACTGAAACTTGGATCCATGCGTTCAGAGTCTACAAGATGTGGTTCCAGGTCTCGATTCTGCTGGAATCGATCTTCTATCTGTAAGTTGCAATCCTAAATACTTGTCCTTTATTCACCTCATTTTGAACTGTGTAATGTGATAATGCTGAAGTAACGTTGGGAAACTTTGGAACTAGTGCCTTTTTCTAGAAGTTATTTTTTATGTGCTTTTAGGTATAATTTCTAATTGGAAACAAAGTTAAGCTCTGCATTAACATCTAATAAATATCTCCAGAAATTATCTCGGAGGTTGGTTTCTCTCGGACAGGACTAACGAAGAGTATAATTGAAATTACAACCAGCAAGTCATGGCCCTCGAAAGGAAAAGGAAAAAGAATAGAAAAGTGAGGCCTCTGGGCACACAACACTATATGATGCTTGCTCTTCAAACTAAGCTCGGACAGGACTAACGAAGAGTATAATTGAAATTGCAACCACCAAGTCATGGTCCTCGAAAGGAAAAGGAATAGAAAAGTGAGGCCTCTGGGCAGACAACACTATATGATGCTTGCTCTTCAAACTAAGCTGGGTTATGTTTTGCCGTGTCTCATTGATTTATTTGCTATTTCTGCCTTGTTCCAACTTAGTCTACTTTATACCCACATCCATGTACCAAGCTTGGCTTAGAAAAAGAGAATGTTGTACAACACATTTGAATCCTGTCCTTACGCATGATTACCATCAATTACCTGGCTACTTCAGAAGGCGAATTGGGAAGCTTAAGGTCTAATTAATGCAAATTTGGCCAAATAGATCCTTGTAGAGAGGAGAATTTGAAACGGTGAGATAGCCCTGAACAAATTGATGATGCAAGTGTAGTTTTAATAACCTTGACAGTTCCCACATATCCCCTTCCCAAATAGTGACCTATGCTTTGAGCTCTCATTATCACTACTTTTTGAATTTATTTTTCCTGCTTTCACTTGTTTCTTCAGAAAAAGTTTTTTTTTTTTTGGTCGAATCTTCTCAAAAGTTGAATGAACAGAAATTATAGCATAGAACTCATGGGTTACTAGATGATAACATTGTAGCTAACAATGCTCCCACTTATCCAGAAAATGCTCTGCTTGGACCCCAGCAGAAGAATTACGGCCAGGAGTGCTCTTGAGCATGAATACTTCAAGGACATCGGATTTGTACCCTGATTATCTTTTGCCATTTGGTCAAGAGTGTTATATATTGGCGTGTGTGGGTGATTCTGCTCTTCTTTTAAGGTGTGAGTTGTGCGTGATCCCTCATGTTCACATGTTGCAGTTTCTCTGAAGCCTTGGACAAATCAAGTAGAACTTATCTTGGCAGCATCAGATTTTCTAATCCATACCTTGTTGCTTGCTGATCCCATTTGTTTGAAGTATACATTAGTGGTTTACCTTTTATTACTAAATTGGATCTTCCAATTTTTCCCCTCCCCTTTGTGATTTTGACTTCACGGAAAGCATATTATCTCAAATGTCTTCGTCTTCTGATATCGAACTGTACTTTTCTTTCTAAGAACTTCTCTTCTTGGTCGTCTATTTGTGCTATCATGTGATGGTAGGACTTTGTTCCAGTTCTTCCTGCACCAGATGAGTTAATATTACACAAATTATTCTGGCAACACGCTTGTGTTTTTATGAAATCTCATCATCCTCAGATCTAATTTGTCTTTCTCAAGCCGTGGTTACTCTCCGCCTTTTGTATATGGTTTTGGCAAACTTCACCGCAGAATATGGTGTATTTCTTCCTCTTTTCCTATTTGGCCCCCAAGCTAAGCTGTGGACCAATCTATTGCTAGAACTTCTACTCCAGGTCTTCAAGGAACTACTTCACAAGCAAGTGTTTTGGTTTCTTGGAGCCATCGTGTTGCCCTATGATTCACTACTACTATCCACCCGCTGTCAAATGCCTCGCACCATTTGCGTCAACGGTTGATCATAGGACATCGACGAACCCAGCACGGCTTTCTGCTACTCTCTCATCTCAACTGGGGCCAAAATTTGCTTAGTCAATTCTTGTTCTTTGAGTCTAGTGGACCAATAGATGAACCGCTTGGATACATAACACAGCTTATCTAGTCAGAACGATTCATGTCCAGACTAATGTATTGTTCACGTATACACTCCCAAGAATCGTAATTTTGACAAAACATGAACACAGTATGACCATGCCAGAGCGTGCTACTTTGAAGATCAGAATCGTTGTCGTGAAATAGGGTACACAAAAGAATTATTTAGTCGGAGACAATCATGCAATGAGGAGTCCCTTCTTGACCTTCAGCGTTCGATCTCCATCCATGAACTGCCTGTTCCGATCCCGCACACGGAATTCAGAATGCAGAACCGGAGCCTCTCGACTTCCCCATCAACACGTCCTTGGCCTCGTTGACCTTGGAAGCCAGGTAATGGCTCCCGCCGGCATCCGGGTGATTCGCCACCATCACTCTCCTATGAGCTTCCTTTATCTTCTCCATAACCGCATGCTCTCTGTCATCAATTTCACAGTATCAACCAACGTCAGTAACAGGTTGAAGACTAGAACAAGACGGACAAATAGCGCGAGCGAAGAGTCGCTCGCTCGGTGCTCAAATATTTCGGGCGCAGATTCGACGTGGATTGCCCCAAAAAGATCGTCGCGTTTGCATATGGAATGCAAGAAAACTGAATGCAAGACTCTTGAATATGGCACGACAGGCATGAATTGTCCTCTCGAGAACTCGGTGCTGGAACAGATTTACCTGACTCCGAGGATCAAGGCAGCCTCGCGCCGGGTCATTACGGGCTGGAACCCTCCAGGGTAGAACCTCCGGACACGCGGTATCACCGGGCGGGCCTTGAACGCCTGCCAAGCCCCGATCAGGTATCTCCCTCCCAACGCCGTGGCCGCCACGGTCGCGCCCACCACGAGAGGCGATGCGACTGATGCCTGATCGAAGGAGCACAAGAATTCTGTCAATATTCTGATCAAAACTGAACTCATCTGCACCGTCAACCATCCGGAAACCCGAAACAGCGAAAGAAAGAGGCCGCGGTTTAACATCCGTTACCATTGCAAAAATCAAAGGAAGGAACCCCGCAGCGATACGCCGAGACTCGATTCTTGGAGATTACAAGCCGAACTCCAAACCCACCCCCGTTAGCTTATCTATCGTTATGTGCAGATGGGAGGAACGATATTCTTACGTTGCACGGGAGTCTGGTGCTTGCGCGGCAAGAAAGAAGCGTCTGGAGAGAGGGGGACTCCATTGGCGGCTTTGATTTTTTTTCTCTGTTATATCTTTTAAACGGGCCGAGCTAATGGGATGCTGGGAATTGGGCCCGCTCCACACGGCCCACTTATTTTCCGGGTCGGTCGGGCTTGCAGGAAACTTTGGCACTTTGGAGAGATTTATTTTCCCTTTTTTTTCCCTCGAAGAAGATGGGAGTGAATCTTCCATTTGATTTGAGACCCCTTACGACCTCTTGCGATTTTTGAACTTCAAGTCAAATTGACCTATTCACCCGAAAATTAAATTTGGAACTTTTTTGGGTACCAATTGCGAGAGAGGATAATAGCGAAGAAAGATTCGGTTTCGACAGCACAGTTACTATCGGGATATGCGATAACTCGACCATGAGGTGACGGGTGATTTAAGATAAACTAACGAGTAATGAGGTTTGAAACCTTATTATCCGGATTGCCTTCTCGAAACTCGTGTGGGGGTGAGGGGACTGGACAACACGCCATGGAGGTTATGTCGGGAATTAACCCAAAAGCCCAAAATAATGCGAACGCACACGCTAACATAGGCACACGCCTAATAATGAGTTAGCCTGACAGGCCAACCCTTGGACCCAGGCCATACATTTGTAGGCCAAATTCATTTAAAAAGCACCAATGTTAACTCAAATTCCAATTCTAACCTGAATTTTTTTTTTTGCCCCGTAAAAAATCTTTTATCTCGGAGCTCAATTCTAGCCTACACTTTTTTTTGTCGAAAAAAAAAAACCAACTTTAGCTCGTGTCCCGATTCTAGCCCGAATTTTTTTTTTTTGTCTCATGAAAAAGTACCAACTTTCAGTCGGTACCCAAATTTAGCCCCTGTCAAGTTTCTACCGAGTATACGTGGAATGACACGTAGAATCTTTAACGGCAACATTGGACGAACACTTGACGGGGTCGGGATTTGGGTACTGGCTGAAGGTTGATGATTTTTTTTTACGAGACAACACAACGTTGATGCGCTTTTTTTTTTTTGAAGGGAATTAGGTCATATATTTGTAAGGTTTTGAAGACTGATCAGTCGTCCGAGAGGGATCGAACGAATGCGGCCTGTTGTTCAGCGACTGGTTCTTTCGTTGGAAATTACAAACATAACAAACGTGACGTGTACCCTTGATATCACTTCATTATCACTATAATTGATCATTATTAATATTGGTTTTGCTGTTATTATCGCTCTTTTTCTTTCTTTTTTTTTTTCTAATTAAACAGACGATTGTGAAAGTGAAGGATAGGAATCACACAAAGTGACATCCGTGTGGTGCAAGTTGGGGAGGTCTGATTTGGACTGTGCACAACCGGAGCAAAATTTCTGCCCCCACCTTCGAATCTCTTGACCCTCGAAAGATGACTCGAAACTCAGGACACGGTCGTTGTCCTGCACGGTCTCACTCGATCAGATCCATTACAGCCGTCCGATCGATATCGCGTGGATTCCCTTGTGTAAAATCTCACGTGGCATCCCGACGACCGGTGGCTGCTCGAACCCGGTCGATCCCAGACGGGTTTCATTTCCGAGCTTGACCCTTTCCGCGATGCAATCCAGGACTTGAAATTCGATGGCGGACCAAGTGATATTCAGCGGTGTCCCTATCCTGAATCTCGTTGCGGGGACCAGGTCAAACATTGAAGGTCGCCCTAAAATCAGATTCACCTCGCGATGGTCGTACATGCTTGCGAGAGTTTTGCGAGTCCCATACGAGTAATTATTATTGCTTGTCATGGTATATGGGATGTCAGTCTCATTCGTGGCAAGTCCACCCCCCACTGACGTGTACGACCCGAGCGTTGACCAAGACGAGGTTTATATATGAGAAAAATAAGTCCTTAAATTTTGGCTCAATATTTAATTTGATCTCTTAACTTTTAAATTATTTTAATATAATTCCTGAACTTTAACCCAATATTCAATATGATCCCTGAACTTTTCATTTGTTCAATGTGATCTGTAAATTTTTGGTACATATTCAATATAGTCCCTAAACTTTATAAAAATATACAATGTAATTCCTGTACGATGTAGTATCTAATAGGGACTACATTGTACATTTTTATAAAGTTCAGAAACTACATTAAATAAATTAAAAGTTCAGGGATCAAATTGCACATTGAATTAAAGTTCAGAAATTGTTTGTGTCATTATCCCTTATATATGTCCCCAAAAGGAGAGGCTTCTCAGGCTTAACAATTCCTTCCTACATATTCGCTTCTGACACGTGTCAGGCCATTGTACATCGCCCGACGATGAAGAGAACGAGCGACTTTTCCCCATAACCGATTTTTTTTTTCTCTCTCTCCTTAATTTAGTATTTTTCCTGATATTAGTTATTAAATTGGTAAATAAAGAGAGGTATCATGGCTAAAAATCTCAAATCGACTTCCGAACGGTACATTTCTCTCAAATTGACTTTTTTTTCGTATCACAAAAAATCTCAAATCTGTACCCCTTATTCAAATATACCACTCGTTAGCATTTTGTCCAGTGTTTTGTTAAAATACATGTTTCAACACGTGCGGCAAACGACCGCGAGCCGGATATGAAGTGAAGAACGATAGATTCGGCGTGAAAAATCCATGTTTCAACGGAACATTAGACGGAATGCTAACGAAAAAAGGGTAGAATTAATAGTATTAGATTGGGATTTTGCGGGGGACGAAAATTAATTCGAGATAAACGTGTCATTGGAATATCGATTTAAGATTTTTTAATGATGTTAAAAAAAGAAAGAAAGAAATGACACATTTGCTGAGTCCGAGGAATACGACCGGGCAAGAAGTAGACCGAGGGGTATGTATGGGGATTTGAGATGAGGTGTGAATAGGAGCTTAAACAAATAATTAAATAAAAAACAAATGTGAGTCCGAGATAGAGAAAATAATATAAATTAATTCATAATAAAGAAATCCTTGACAAGGAGGGACAATGTGGTTCCACTTATTACAATGATGAATGTGACGTTCTTATAATGGAAAGAAAAAAAACTAATTCGAATAAAATAAAATAAAAAGCGAATGAAAAAGGAAAAAAAAGGCGTTTTTCTTGGGTTATGCCCGTGTCGTTTCTTCCCACGAGCCTCTGGAGCCCGCCCACACGCAAGTTCCTACGAAAGCCTCCAATTCACGTAATGCCAAAAATTTAAAAAAAAAAGACAAAAAATAATATAAAAAAAGTCGCAAGAACGTTGATTATTTAAATTAATGAGTGTATTTAAACGTTGATCATTAATATGTCTTTTTTTTTGTCGAATAATTAATAGATTTAACAATGGGTTTTGATTATCTAGTATTAATTATGGGAAAATAACACAAATGATGCCTAAATTTTGGTCAGACGTGCGATGTCGTCCTTGAATTTTTAATCTGTTAAATGTGATCAATAAATTTTAGTCCAACATGTAATGTCGTCCCCGAACTTTTATTTTTATTTAGTACGGCTCATGAACTTTGGTTCAATGTTCCGTGTGGTTCCTGAACTTTTAAATATTTTTATATAATTTAGGGGCCTAATAAGTTTAAGAATCACATCGAAACAAATTAGATGTTCGGAGATGATATTGCACGTTGAGTCAAAGTTCAGGAATCACGTTGCGTAAATAATAAGTTCATGAACGATATTGGATAGCAGATCAAAATTCGGACCATTTGTGGCGTTATCGCGTTAATTAGTTTCTTTCCCATCACGCGAGAACGAATCCCAGTTCTTTTCCTTTCCAGCGACGGCTCTTTCCTGTCTCTCTTTTCCATTTGTCGGAAAATAAGACAAGAAAAAGTCTCGAGACTTTTGCGCTGGGTCCACGGTCGTGGTCTTCTCCCTCGATCGATCACCCCCAGCTGGTCTGCGTAGAGAAACAAGAGAAGCCTCGGCCCCCCCCCCCCCCTTCCCGTCTTCCATTTCCCATTCGCCTCCTCTGCTCCTCCGTCGATTCCCCTACCGTCTCCTCCTCCTCCTCCTCCTTCTCCGGCGCACAGGGCCCGGTGGACCCAGAGGGGAAGGACGAACCTCTTCGGGGGTCGGGAGACTTCAGTCCTCGAGCTCCCGCGCGCGCTCTCTCTTTCCCAGCTCTCTCTCTCGCTGCCGCTACCCAGTGACGGCAACAGGTTCGGCACTGTTGCGCTTGTTCGTTCCTGCTTTTCGTCGCTTCGAGCGCTGATCGGGCCTTTCGGGCGGCGAAGTTGGTGTGCTTGTGCTTGTGCTTGTGCTTGTGCTTGTGCATGAGCTGTGCGTGTAAATTTTGTCGGAATGCGCTCTCTCTTTCGCTGCTTCTCTGGGTCGATGCTTGTCTCGGTCGATGATTTCTGCGGTTCATGCTCGTGTCCTCGTGTGCCCATTTGTTATGAAAACCGGGTCCCCGTATTTAGCAGCACGTGACGAGTGATGGGTAGTTTTTAGTGAAGAATTAAGTATACGACTCGACTCTTTCGAGTTCTTGTCTCGCCTCTGTGGTTTCAGCCAATCTGTATCCGGTGCCCACCAAAATTCTCTTCGTTTTTTTTTTTCTTCCTTTTATGTGCCTTCTAGCAGTGGGGTCTTTTCGTCAGGGCTGGTATTTTTGTGGAATTGGTTCCCTTCAATGTCGTGGCGGGGTCGGTCTTTTGTCATTTTTGGGTGTGGTCTTGATCTTGCTAGTAGCACGACGTTTCCAAAGAAGCATTGCTATTGTAGGCATGAAACAGCGATATGGTTAGATTGAAAGAGAAGACCTGTTACGAAATTTTCTCAGTATATTATACGT